TTAACAAGTTTTTTTAAAATATCGCTTTGATTGCAGCGCAGTCCATCTTTGATACGCATTACGCGTCTGCTTATGCGAGGTATGCCGAGCACGTTTTACTAATTGCTCGGTTTCAATATCACATACCTCGTGTCGGCGTTATCTATTAGCGAGCGTTATTGCTTTTGCAAATATCCTCTCATTCGAAATGCGATGTCGAGGCACGGCGTACTTAGTACGCGGCAAAACTTGATCGCGATATATTGTCGACGATTTGAATCGATAAATGCGGGGGAAATTGATTAATTAATTAAATAAATCAGCGAGGTCGCGGTATAGGCTCGCGATTAATATGGAATTGTACAAGAATGAAATGCATCTAAACGCGCGCACGATTGAATACGAACGAATAATATGTAAACTAATGCGCATGGCATATTAGAATTATCATTTCGAGGAAAAATGGGTAGAGAGATCTTTGTATGAGAAAAGACATTACTTTGGATTAATTAATATGCTTGGATAACAGGCAAAAATCAAGGTTATTTAATTTTACATCGCAGATATTTATAAAGTACACTACCGCATTCAGAAAAGGCAAAATGAGAACTTGTAATATTTGATGTAAATAAAAATATAAGATCTGCAGGCTTTTAATCTCACAGACATTGCCTTCTTAATTTTGTCTCTCGCTTTCCTAGACGGTATTTACATACTAATAAACTTAGAGCAATTAACATGTTAATACCGTCCGAAAAGGGGAAAAAATCCTAACGCATATCCCGTGAATTATCTCAAATTAAACGCGACCCGACTCGAGGCCGTTATATCCAACGACCGAAGGATATAAAGAATTATTAGACATTTATATTGTAGAGTCGAGTATGCTTTGCGTTGTGCCTGCTTGCTTTAAATCGCTCCCGTAATGGACCCGCGCGCCTAATTAGATAGTAATGACTTTATTAGACGCACCCGGAAAATTTACCCGCGCTCGTTACCCCCCAACTAGGGCAACGGCTAATGTAACCGGCGCATAATTGCAAAGTAAATTTCAAGGTGCGCACTGCTGGCGCGCACACACGTATATCCATGCAGGTATACGTCGCATATATGCGGGAGGGATGCACCTCTCGTCCCATAATTCCGACGGTTACCTGTAATCTTACGCGCTAACGAGAACGAAGATGCGTAATTTTCCTCTCTCTCTCTCGGTGGGGTGCTTCGCGACGGGGCGCGAAAGGGTGACGGTCCTTTGTCCGCCCGCGAGAAGGCGCGTGCCTGCATCGGAAACGTGGGAGGTCTTCCTTTGTCGTCCCTACTACGGCTGCAATTATCTCGGATTAATGCCGGCGCTCGTCCTCGCTCCTTCGTATCCTCTCTTACTCTCTCCTTCCTCTTCTCCCCCCCTCTCTCTCTTTCGCACACCCTTTTCCATCCCTCTGCGACTCGATCGTCGAAGCCGCTGCCGCGCCGTTCCGTTCCGGTATTATAGTTTCGCGGTATTCGACGGCCATTGTGCGCTCCGTTTTAGACGCATAGTCCTTTGTGTTCTAGGCAGAAGACTCATCCTCCGATCTCTCAGCGAAAACGATGCCTGCGAATTTCGACGATGCGCGGGATAATGATAACTATGGCGATGATCTAATATAGATTCGTCTAAAATCGATTGCGCGAATACGTTGTAAATTGAAACATTTTTAGTGTCCTCTTAGCAAATATAAACTATATAGACACCCACTCGATATTATATTGAAATTCTAGAAATGGAATAGAGATGAATGTAAATATGAAGGCAGACGTTTTAGAGCAGATTTGTTCAAATTTTTACTCGCAGATGAAATGCTTCTCTTTCCATTCAATCAAGGTATTCAGTTTCTCGATTGAATGAAACAGAAAAAGCAAAATAGTCTTTTTGCTCAGTAAATTTAGATAGAACGTTTAGATAGATGTTCTAAATTAAAGATTAAAAAAGGACTTAATATATAATTTTATTTTAAGCAGTATAAATAGTAAAACGAATAAAAGTAATATGAAATTTTGAACGAGCGTAGGTTTAAGAATCTGTAACAAATAAATCTGTATCCAATAAAATGGATCTTATGTAGGTACACAGCGGATATAAAGTGGATAGAACGGAATACATAAAGAATGATAGTAAGGAACCTTAATAAAGATGTGCTATTATCTTTGTAATCGAATTTGCAAAAGTTCTTAAGTTCTACCGTTTTCAATAACTTAATAGGAATCCTGAGCGAAAGGAGAGCGAGAGAGTGAGAGAGAGATAGATGAAAGGAAGATCTCTACTTTGTTCGTTGTTTCATTTCATCAATTAACATCGCGGCTCGGTGAAGGTCGTTACAGGCAGCCTTGCCTTCGAGCGGAATTAATATCCGAGAATAATGCGATTATACCGAGGCTTCACCGCCAAGTCCTGTCTTCTCGTCTTCCACTTCTTAGTTCGAATAAAATGCACTTCTGTACGCATTATAAATGTGTCATAATCATTCGCGATGATCGGCAAAGATAAAATCCGATTTCTTGAAACTGCGCGAATTTTTATATCTCATAGAGATTACTAAGAATATTGAAAGACTCTTTTTATAAGAAATACATTCGTTAAAAGAATAACAAAATATACTTTACAATTTAATAATATTTTTAATATTTTAAAAGATTAAAAAGTGTTTCTTTAAAATATTGAGTTGTTTTAAAAGACAGAGATATTTCTTCTTTGCTTTTCTGTCTTATACATAAAAGAAAAATAAAGTGATTGTGTTTGTAAAGTATGACATTTTTTTAAGTAAAATTTTCTTTTTGTTTTCTAAAAATAAATAATTATCTAGAATTTCGAAATTCTCTTTTGCATTCTGGAATGTATGCAAGCTAGATGTAGAGAATGAACAATGTTAATTAATTATTCGTAACATAGTACGTTTACTGAAAAGATTGCTCTTGTGCGAATAGAGATATATGAATGCGAGATTTGCGAGAGAAAGAGATTTAAATGGAATCGCCAAAGCACAAACAAACGTACTGTTTTCTGGATTAGTCGGGATTTTAGTCGCACCGTAGCTCCGTATATCTCTTTTTCCGTTCAAACGAAGCAAGGGGGAACGCGTGCGGATTGGCGTATGATAGTCGAGCAATTAAGGGAATATCTGTCGACTAGCAGCTGGATACTGATTAGTTCTCGGGCGATCGATAGTTTAAACCGCGTCCGATCGACCGTCGGGGACCAGTAATCGGTTTGAAAAGTTTTCCCTTCCGATCCTTATTCCGGCAGGCCACCCTCCTGCTACAAATTCCGAGAAATTGTCAGAAAAGCTCGACGGGGAAAGAAGAAGCTTTGATTTCGTTCGGGTCTGGCCGTCAGAAAGTTAAACGTTGCACGTTGATAACGAAAGTTGCTTCCGTTCGGAGGTTGTAATAAACCTACGCGATCGAAGCTACATTCTATTCTCTGGATTTTATATGAAAATTCCAATTTAATGACACGTCCTCGTTGATAAAGGAGGTCCCTCGCGCACGTAATATCGTGCGCAGGATTACACAAAGGAAGATTAATATAGCATACGCAAACAAAGGAACGTATAATTATGGAATGTGATACATAACATTCAATTTTCGTAATCTGTTATTCCTGCAAATCTAAAGAATCTTAAGAATCGCTGAATCTTATATCCCGAATTTCGACGCATCTATAAACTTTTTGATACATTTGGCAATTATCATCGAACGAGCAATCTCTAAATTTTTAGAAATTGCACTATTTTCCAGCAACAACATTGAAAAATTACATTCTTTAGTGCGTTAATTAAATTCAAAAGAGAGGCGTCGTCGAGGCGGCCTCCTCATAAATCTCGAAAGTCGAGTTCAGTTCCGAAGTTTAATCCTCGAGTTCCCCGTTAACAGCGTGAAAGTGCGCGCGCGATAAAGCTCAACCTCGCAAAATCGCTTGAAAATTTCCCGAAACTTAATCCGTAGGTTTAACTAGACCGCCGAAAACGGCGGAGGATCAAACGTTCGCTCTCGTACCTAGGCGCTTCGTTCTCGCGAACAATTCTTCTTGAAATCGTAAACTCGATTCTTCACCTCGATCGTACTAACGTCTTAAACTCGTGCCTTCATCGTGAAGATCCTTGAAAAAAGAACTCACCGTCATTCGCTCTCCGAGTTTGCTTACAATTCTAAATTGTCTGACGTATTTTTTAACTATAAGAATATACACATTCTAACAAAGTTTTATAAAATATATTGATTAAAAATGTTAGCGAGTTAAATTAACACAAATCAGTATAACATAAAATTTTCTGAAAATATTGTATTACGTAATAAAACAAATAAAGTACCCACAGCTTTCCACCTATGAATAAAAATTCTAAAAAAAAAATCAACTGTCGAGTGTCGATAGCAGTACAGTTTTATGATAAATTTTATTAACCATGAAACTTATTTTTTTTTTTAATTTTAACATAAATATGTATCTGCAAAATATTAATAGCACATAGATCGATATTTTATGATTGATATTTTAGATACGATATTGATATGATAGGTATTTATATTTCTTATTGATTGTTGATATTTTAAATATTTTATATTAATAAAAAAATAATCGATTTAAAATAAAAAGATAAAGCATGAATCCCCGGATCAAGGATTAATATAAAAATGCATATACAGCGAAAAAGTTAAATTATACTACAATACATAACATTGTATAACATTGGAACAAACCACATTGTAATCTTTATAATATCACATTTAAACCATTAAATCACGAGTTTTTAAATATTTGTATTTTCTGAATTTTTAAACGATTATAGACCATTGTTATACCGTGCAACAAATCTTTTTGAATGTTTATAAAATAAGAGAACTTTACAGATGAAATATTATGAGAATTATGGGTCAGATATCTATGGAGCCACTCGATTCTTCTCGAATGCAACTCGACTATATTATATCAAGAGCCCGAGGTCTTGCTGTTCCATAACCGCCGTTTCCCTCGTCTGTTGCAGGAGCTGGAGAGGAGTTACACCCTGTCGACCCCGGGGGGTAGCAGTCCCGTTTGTTGTCCGCCTTGCAGCCCACCGCCCGCGCCGGCCGCATACATATCGAGCGCGCGCGCGTCCTCGCGTAGACTCGGCGCCGGAAGTGGCCTCGGCGGGCCGACATCCCCGGAGAGGGATCCCCTGGGAAGACTGTTAAGGTGAGTCACTCGTTCGATGTTCCCCGCCGCGCCGTCCGCAGTTCTCTCACTGCGAGATGGAATCCTTATTTCTCCGGGGCGAAATCGTCGTTCCCCAGGTCCGACAGAGAATCTAATTCCATTAGACGTGTTTTTGCCCGCCGACGCTTACGTTCGCATTGTTCCGGAGATGAGATGATGCTCTCGGAGGTGATTTTACCCGGTACAAATAGATACCGGTATAGCGGTACAACGAGAAACTTTACGTCTAAGTGCTGTACGTTTTAATTAATCTCAGTTCCAATTCGCAATTTAATTTTGGCTCTTTTTGATTTTCTCTTTTCTACAGTTATATTACAGTTGGTGGATAATTAATTGAAACGTGACACGAATACTTGTAGTTTGTTATATAACATTCCCCCGAAATTATTATAAATATAAATGAATCCTTGTAATTATTTATTATACGAAGGATTAAAATAAAAATTATATTCATATTTACATACAATTTGAAATATACTGTACAAGTTATAACTTTATTCTACTTCTGCTTTAAATTTTCTCACATATAAACATAATTTAATGCTTCAGTGGAAACAACTCTGCGCTTGTAATTTTAATTAGTCTAACATAGTACTATATTAAATAATAATTGCGGTTAATTCAATTTTCTTTGTGCATAGTGTGACCGATATTGCAGTTCAAATTTAACATTGGTTAAACTCTGATTTAATTTAATCGACGTTAATGAAAGCAGTTCTAGAACAGAGCGCGGACACGCGGGTATGCGGAATCATAAATGTGAAAGCATTCGTGCGGGCATAATTAAATTCGCGATATGCTCAGGAATGTTTGTCGAGACAGCGCGAATGTGTCATCAAGAGCCCCAGCGTGTACGCGAGACGGATATCCGGCCTAATGACTTCCATAAAATCAGAACAGGCTTTTAAGACCGATCATTCGGAAGTCGTAAAAGTCTCTCGCGAGCTTTTCTTCCACGCCTCCCATCGGGACGTCCTTCTCCTGATTACTTTCATGACCCTGCGGGCTTTCCGGTTGAGATCCATCAATCTGTATGGCGAGAGGTGTACACGAATGCGCCGTCTAACATCTTGCTCCGTACCACCATTTTGTCGTCTCGGGAAAATTTACCGATCACCCGGTAAATGGGCAGATCATTCATCTTTAAGCTTTACCTTCCCGATCTGCTTTATTCGTCCAATCTATCAAATTTAGTTTCGCTTTTTATCCTTCGGGTCTTTTTTCTCTTCTACAAACGCTGCTCATGTGTTGAAATTTTTCAATATTGCGTTAATGAAAACGATAAATGTGTAGTTAACGGTATGAGTATACGCTGAAATGAATTAAATTTTAATATACGGTATTTATATTATCACTATGTGGAAAAGTGGAGTGAAATATGCATCAGTTAATATTTTTAGAAGGGAATAAAAATTGTCCGAGTTGAAATTCCGACTCCGAAGTTATGAAAATGTTCATCGTTATTACCGTGTCTCCTTTATTACATATTATATTCCGCGAACAATGTGATATTTTGAATCTCGCGATTTCAACTCCCATCTATCTTGCTCGGAGCATCAAAACTATTTCATCAATTCCCAGCCTCTGCTCCCCTGGAATCCGGCGAACCGTCGCTCTACGACTTCGCTCGAAGAATTTCCGTTCTATATGGCCTACAGATTGAATAACCCCGCCGAACCCTATCGTTACAGATTCCTGAAGACCTTCTACAGGGAGTTGGGCACCCGCGATCTGCCCCATCTACCGCCATGGGCGTCTCCGCTGCCGCTCGGCCCCCTCTGCCCGGCGCACTTTCAGCCGCATCTGCAGCTCGTGCACAAGAGCGAGCAGGAGCACCGTCTCGAGAACATCAAGCCCGACCAGATCTTCGCCCCCGTCAGGGTGAGCATAATTAAAATCCAATAATTGTATTATATCGCTGCAGTTTAAAGCGGAGATACTGCACGCCCACAGAGGATTACAGTTTGACAAAAACTCGGAAAGGATGTTTTATGTAACAATAGAGGGTGAGATAAATGAAGGCGATGCAGACGGGATATATTTAAATCATCGATATTATTATTTATACATGATCAAGGATTCTTGGCTGTGTATACATTATATTAAGGATTTCGCACTATATATTTCTAAATATATATAAGAGGGATTAGAAAGGAGAATCAGCTTCAGAATAAATTAAAATTTAAGTTTATCATTTCAAAAAACCGGTCGCAGAAAGATAGATATATCAGAGACGTAAAATTTAGGCCAAAATGTCGAAAAATACTGCGTTACGTCATAAGCAGGGCAATCGATAATCGCGGATTCGTACTGAAAATGCTAAACAGATTTTCGGTTCACCACGCGGGGGCTTTATCAGAAGGCGGCCGAGATCTTTCGTCGGCAGCCGCAAATTTGCATGATATCGACTCCGTAATTGCGCGGACGAGCGGCAAGTCGGGTCCCGGATGTCCAAAGAAGCCGCGGGGGAGTTTCCTCCGACGACTGTCGAAAGCTCGTTTCGCCCCCTCTTTCGCCGCTGCTACCGCCAAGCAACTTCTTTCAGAAAATGTGAAAGCCAAGTTGGTGTCTTCTAAAGTCCTAGAGCGAGAGAAAGAGAGAGAGGAAGTGAAAAAGTTCCGCGAACTTCCATCCCTTCGCGATTCGCTGTCTCGAGTTCTTGACAATACGAGGCCGCTCGACTTCTTGCTTCTCTCATTGATCTCTCGATGCAGTTTCCCACGAGTGAGATCCAATGACACTCGAATCGACGCACGCTTGCAATTTATAGTCGCAGTTGCTTTGGCTGCCGAATGGTTGTTTTTTGATTAAATTGCGCAATCTTTGAATCGATTTTCGCGGATAAAAGGATACCAACTTTAAACTGGACAGCGGTCTATGCAATCTAATCAGTTTTATGTATTTTTTATTAAGTGAAGAAAGGAATAAGGATAAAAATGTCAGCATAATTGCAAATGGTAATATATTTGACTTTTCTTCTTCGAATTCTCGTTAACAAATAGTAATTAGCGAGTCATTAATGTTTAATGATACATTAAAGATAGAAGAACTATAATAAACGTATATATATTAAAGAGAATTCTCGAAATTAAAATATCAGATTTTCTTCAAATCTTGGCGCAGACGTATATATGTATATATGTATAATTGAATCACAGAGATCAAGACGTGGACTTGGTATTCTAAAATTCAGGCGAAGTCGTAATATCCAATTCAGACAAATTGTTGAGTGTATCCAAGTCTGATCGATGTACACGTGCACGTATGTACGTAGCACATCGATCACGACGAATAGCGGACAAGAGGGTGAATAACGGTTTCGAGCTCCTTGCGCGGTTCTCACGTCTCGCGAACGGTCGTTCACGTCCCGGCGATAATATCTTCGTCGCTCTGACTCTCGTTCTTCGGATAAAGGAGGTTTCTGATAGCGGCGCCGAGACGCCGATCGGCCGAGCGTCCTTCTGCATCGCGTAACGAAGCATTGTTCTGTCGCGAAGCGATAAGCCGATTCGTTAACGTTTCCCCGACCAGCCGTGTTGGTCGCGTTCTCTCGTCTCGGGTGGAAATACCCAGCTACGACGATCCACGACGATCAGTCCCGCCGGAACGTGAGAGTGAGGTCCGTATACGCTCCTTTGTTTCTATTCGCCGAGTTTCGAGAGATCGCTGTTACATTCTTACATCACCGTTGCGAAGTGAAACACAATTGTTTTTGAGTTATAGAATGCACTAATTATGAAAAATATAATTACTACAAACGAAAATACATGAAAGTAATAATGATTATAAAGATGATGATTGTTCTATATTATGATGAAAAATTGTATTAATAAATCAAAACTAGATAAATAAAATAAATCTTGTACAGTGATTATTTATAACAATATATACATGTAAATGGAAGTATTAATTCAAAATTCGTGTATAATTAATTATCCTATTTATTATTTCACGTATATAAATTAATGAAAAGATACATGGAGAAATAAAAAATCGTTTAAAAACCTCCGATAATGTCTCCAGAAAATGCGAACTTGCTATCGTTGTTATTGCATTCTTTTTCTCCTGAGAAACCCGTGTCTCTCGTTCGTTACTTTCGATATATATTGCGACTGCGTAACGTAAAGAGCCACAAAATGCAGACAATGCGCCACGTCGCCCGGAAACGTTCGCGTCGAAAAATGAGCCTCGTAACCGTCGGAACATACGTAGGATACGTAGGATAGGAAAGAAGGAAGGTGCAGGTACACACACAGACCGAGCTTGGGGAACCACATGCGCGTACCGGCCAGCCTGGGAATGAATTCGCGTCATAAAACCGATGTGCTTCCACCGCGAGAAAAGACGACTGCAGAGCTAACTTTCAGAAACCGCCCTTAACACCGCCAAATGCACTCTCGCGTTCGTCGCGTGCACCACAATTCCCCCACGTGTCAGAAATTAAAGAGTCGACGTGAAAGAGGACTGCACGTAAACGCGAAGAGAGACAGGAACTTCAGAAAAAAGCCGCTTCTTTAGATAATATTTTATTCATTCGAAAATGTTTGGGAAAAACGCGCGCCAGTTACGTGTTTGTTTCACAAATACGACTTCTACAATTTTTAATATACATATAAATTGTTGACTTTGGTACATAAAATATTTTTCGAAGAAAATGTGCTTTTGGAAATAACGATGTAGTAACATCTTTTTTATTATAAATATAATAAGACTATACTTCAAAACTACTAATTTTTTGTGCAGTCTTTGTAAATATGAGTTATTTCTTGATACCATGTATTTATTTTTTTATATTGATGCTACATGAGCAGCAGCGCATATATAATCCGTCATCTCGCAATGCTTTTTCCATATTTTAACGAATAACGCAAGCAGTTATATGTTCTGTTTTTACACAATCGATTACGGTCGTGTTTTTCCGCTGAAGCGGAAAGTACACGGCAATGTGCAAAAATATTAAAATATTTTAATCACAATAATTGAATAACTAATTAATACGTCATACATGTTTTAAAACTATATCTAAATATCCAATAATTTACTTTGAAATATGTGTTTTGTTGTTGTTTTCACTACATAAATAAAATGTGGTTCGTCCTCTTTGTCAAAGTATTCATCGATAAAACCGATGAAGAATCAGTGTATATTGCGAGCAAAACCAACATAAAATTTCCTGAGAACTGGGCATAACTCGTGGAAAAATCCTGTTGTCGTTCACCAAGTTTGCCGGAATCAAAATATCGAGGTCGATACTTGAAAAAACGAACGATTTAAAACCCTCGAATCGCGAGCGCGTCGATGTTTTCAACAAAAATATGGAAAATGGACGTAACCAAATTTGGGTTTTTTTTTTTTTCACAAAAATGCAATCGCTGTCAAATTGTAAAAGATTATGGCGACCATTCACGGTGGTGGGCGATTATTTTTATTATCTACTATACAAATTTGCATGCAATGAAGGATCGAGTAACGCGGCCGCGCTGTTCGCTAATGGAAGTTTACGCTCGAAAATTTACTCTCTTTTATACAACCGTGCGGAACTGCGTCATGGCGATTTTATTCGGCGTGCAGGTATACGGCAAAAGACATTTTTTAAAATAGGAAACGAAGCCAGTCGATTCCGATAAATTAAAAGGTCGTGGAAAATGAATAATTGAGATTACTAATGAGGTCTCGCGATATATAAAAGTACATAGCGAGGAGAAATATGCGCTGGAATATCACTCTCATAAATTCCGCGTAGTCTAAAAGTAAAAAAAAATGCAAAGGGGTTACATCGAAAGCATCGACGGTTGCGGGGGGGGGGGGGGAGGAGCCACCGGGTCTGCATTTTATTATTTCAGAGATTTTTCCGCGGAGAGACGCGGAGACTGACGATGCCGCGCCGCGCGTGCATTCGTGCATTCCGTCGGTTTGCGCGCGGTCGGATCGATGATAGATCGACGGAGGGTGGAGAGAACGACCGTCGCCGTGGCGAATCGATCCACATCCAATCGCTGCCTGCCGTTTCCGATATATATACGGAGACTTATATATCCGCGAAAGGGTGCACGCTCTGGCTGCCGCGATCCCGCGGCGGACCTTTCTCATCGCGTTTCTTTCCACGATATGCTTCGCGAAGAGACACATCGTCCCCTCGCCTCTCCCTCCCTCCCTTTCTGTATCGCTGTCTCCTTAAATTTTCCACAGCGGAATGAAGCGCAATATCTCTCGCAGTATCGCCATGAATATCAACGGCGCGCTCCAATCTTTTCGTTGAGATTTGTGGACGCGCGCCGCTGTCGTTTTCAACTCATCCCTTCGGGGGAATTTGTCGCAGCGTCTAATTGGATTGCCAAAAGAAATAATTGGCACTGACGTACATTGATATATAAGTATTTGTTGTTGCATATTGGTATCTAATAATTAACGATCGTGCAATAATCATGCAATGTAGTAATTTAATATAGAATTAAATATTAAATGTACTAATTAAGAATTTGAAAATTATATGTGCGTGTATAGGTACATTACAATGCAATTTAAATTTTGTTTCCTTTTCTTTTTAAAATTGCTGTGGAAGAAATAGTTTATATAAAAATTGCTATTTTGCCCATCAAAAAAATTGCTTTCCCATGAGTGGATGGCTTTCGGGAAATCGACTATTTCGTCAAATCGTATTTAAAATAATCCACTTTCACTTTCCCCGCGTAATACAATAACGAATGTCGTCTGCCTTCAACGCGCCCTCCCGTCTCGGTTTATCGAAAGGATATTTACGGGCGTGCAGACTTTCTAATCTGTCCGGAAACGAAGGATTTATCGCCCTGTATCCTTGCAACGCGACCGTTTCCCGATGCGCTTCGCGTCCGTCGTTTCTCGCGGGATATTCTCCTCGCCTTCGCCTCGCTTCTCGGCATTCGAGATTGGTTGCGGCTGTGGAAGAACGGCCGGAACAAATGCGGCCTTATACCCCGGAAGGATTGATAGGTAGATCCCGCGTGACGCAGGAATTATTCCGCGGCGGATTATCCGGTAACGAGCTTACGATCCTTCATGCATCCCGCACGTTGCCGCATTACCTCGTCAAAAACCTGCGTCATGCTATCGACGTTTCGTTAATCCCCATCGGCGGTTAACGCTCGAATCAATTAATTTCAATCGAAGCGTCAGCTCCACGAAAGTCCAATTCGTGTTTCCCGACAAGAAATATTGAAGGTTCGATAATATGTTAATCTATTAATATCGCATTCTTCTATACGAATACCATAGGTCTTTCAATATTTTATCGAACGTTAATATTTGAAACTGAAAGGGGTAATAGGGAAATTGAATTTATACGTCGGTCAAATTTTTATTGAATAAAAATATTCGAATTAATCGGGGAACCTAAAATCGGACGGTGGAGCTGGCGATAATGTTTCGACATGTATCTTGCACGCGTGTACACATGTTCATACATCGCGTACGATACAGGTGCGTGACGGCATAGATACGCTTCACGTGATAAAAGTTTATATCAAATATATATCGGTGCCAAATCGCTCGGGAAGCACGTGCAATGAATGGACTCGTATCGCGCTCTTTTTCATCCGCCAGCGTGTCCCAGTAACCGGATGTTGCAATCACACGGTGTATAATGGCCGCGCTGTTATCCGTCGGCCAGCAGATTGTGTACCGCCGACCGGATCGATTATTGCTGACAGAGCGAATGACCGGCAAACGCCGCGTGTTCCGCGTACTACGGATTACGGTTATCGATTACGGGAATCGAGATGCGCCGCCTGATGCCGATATCGATCGCCGATCGTTCAACCACCGCCGCCGCCGCCGTCGACGGCGCGGCGTCCTAACCGCCGGTCAACGATGTTGTTGCGCGTCGCGAAACAGAGGCCGGGTTTAATCGCCCGCTCTCGCTAATCGTTTGCATAATGCTGCAACTGCTATACGTCACGTGATACTTTTTGCTTCGAGCATCACACGAATACACTACCGTATACTGTCGGGGATTGCCCTAGATTGGTGGCAAGTGGACAGATAGCATCACTTCGCGCAATATTTGCGTTAGCGTGCGTCAGATTGCTGATATTTCATGATCTGTAAACCATCGGGAGTAAAGAGCTTTTTGTAATAACGATGAAAAATACACGAATATAATAATGAAATGTTATTATCCAGTCGAATGGAATCTTGTTCTGAAAGAACTTCAATCCCGAGCCCTATATACACTGTTAAATATTAAAGAATGAAATTTCAACCAATAACTTGTTATTTTTAACCATCATGCGTGTGTGTCGAAATTTATTATTTTAACACAAAAGAGTGTTATTTTAACTTTATTGGTTTAGTTAGATTAACGATATATTGAACAGGAGTAACGACCTATAGGAATGATTAAAACTGATTCAATTTGACACTACGCATTTAACAATGACATATAGAAGTTAAAATTTGAGAGCTTGAAAAATTTTGCAACTTTGCAAACACAGTGGAAAGCGTTCGGGAAAGGTATATCGATTCTCGTGGGGAAAACATTTTGCCATAATGTTGTCGGGTGCGAGATTGCAGGACGTAGTATCGAATGCCTCACGTGTAACAGGCAATAAGGTGTCCGAAGTGTTGCGAAGTCCCAGACGACGGTTGATCTATCGAAGAGGATTAGTGGTTCGCGGGGAAGGTTTTAGGTTCTAATTGGCTGACCGGAGACCGAGATCGGGAAACTGAGAAGTATCTGAGAAGCTGATCACGAAGTGACCGAACTTTTTTCTTTTATCCTCGTGTCATCGGTTCTACCGATCAAAAGAGAATTTTCCCTACATGAAGAAACGACTCGTAACTCGTAACATCGCATTATTCTTTTTACTCTCGTCTTACATCTGCAGTCCACGTGGATGGGCGCTTGTCACAGGCTTGCTCTATTTTGCGTGTAATTCGCAACATTTTTTATTTTGTTACACAGACGCTGCACTGCGCGTTTTATTACGTGAAATGCAAATTAAAGCGAGATATTAATGTAACGTAATGTTACGTGTCCGCTTTCTTCTAATCCGCTGTGTGAAATGCTCCAATTTATTCTTGTTACTGAAATTAAATTTTGGATAACTTTCATTGAAAATTTTTTTAAAATTTAAGCGATAGATCGCGAATGGATTAAGTACTTACCTTGCACGGAGTCTGCGTTCCTCATCAATTGTACTTTGATTATAATAATCTTGATAAAAGCATTAGTGATCGACATTTTTTTGCCAAAGGTGTTAGGCCTATCTTTCTAGTTTTTGTTACACCTTGTTTACGCGAAACAATTTATGATTTCCAGCTGAGCGACGGTACCGTGTCGGAGGCGCCGCGGCGCGTCGCCGTCGAGGGTGGTCCCGGAAGCGGCCGGACCACACTCTGTCTGCGACTACTGCACCAGTGGGCGAGTCAGAGCGACGGTCCCGCTCTGGCGTTCATCGTGCCGCTGCGCGAGCTTCGCGGTAGCCCGGTCCTAAATTATCTGGCGCGAGAATTGTTTCCAAGAACGTCCGCGTTGGGCGACGCGGTCGCCCAGGTATGGCGCACTCTTCACCTGATGGAGGACCGCGTGCTCTTCGTCCTGGACGGTTACGACGAGTGCGTGGGCGGCCGGGCGTCGCTCGGCGACGCGGCCGACTTGCTGGAGGGACGACTGTTCCCGGACGCCAGGATCCTGGTCACGTGCTCGCCCAACAACTCAACCACCCTCGCGCCCTTGGTCCAACGCAGAATTCATCTGGCTGGCCTCGAGTGGCCGCATGTCGAGCGGCTCTGCATGGCCTATTTCATTCACAACGACATCGCCGAGAAGGCCTGCGAGTTTCTCGAGGCGCTCAACGTGCAACCGCAATCCGTCAGGCAGCTCGGCCAGCATCCGCTCGGCTGGATCATGCTCTGCTGCTTATACCAGGTGAGATTTTTCATCACAAATATCGATATATAAAGAATCTTAACTAAATCAGAACTGTATTTTTTACTTCTTAATGAAAAAATATTAGCAAATTATATAATGCCATAATTGTAAAATCAAAAAATTTTGTTAGATTATTACCTATTAGATTATAAAATAAAAATTATGAATTATAATAATATCAAACAATTTTTATTAATTTTATTTGAAGACTTACGTTTGCTAAAAATATTATCTCCAACAATAAAATAAATTTATAGCAATTTTTAATTAGCAATTTTACGAACAATTTTATTCAATAATTATTTTTAGCTTACTAACAAAATTTCTTTTATAATATCTGATACTTAATTGTGATAACAAAATACGATTGCTTTTACATCGCGAACATACGCGAACAGTTTTGCTGCGATTGCAAAATTCTTTTTTTCTCAGTGTATTCTGTAGAAATTATTCACTTTTCGATGCAGACAACGTATAAGATAGAAAGCCCTAGAAAATTATACGGAATACCTTGATCCACGAGCACGATTTTCCTTATCAGGACTCCGGAAGCCTGCCGACTGAGACAAGTGCCCTCGTGCAAGCGGCGGTGAAGTGCATCGTGAAGAGGAGCTTAGATCCGCCGATTCCCTATAACGAGGAGATCCCGGGCCATTGTAGGAAGCGTCTCGAAGACTTCGGCAAGGTGTCCCTGGCCGCCCTAAGGGAGAGCAGATGCTGTTACACGGAGGCCGAGCTGAGGGCACGGGGTGGCGGCATCGAGGTCACTCGACTCGGCTTCCTCACGAGGGGACTGACCTTCGGTCAGAGACGCAAGCCGGACCTTTACACGCCTATCCATGTGGCGGTTGCGGAGTTTCTGGCGGCGTACTATCTCACCTCGGTAGCGCAATACGCCAACATCCTGCGCCGCGAACTGGAGGGCCTACCCTCGGGCATCATCGGCCATTTGGCCGGTTTGCTGGGCCCCAAGACCCACCTGATTCTGAATCAATTGTGCCCGCTGGAAGTGCCGCCCAGAGCCGTGTTCTCGTTGCTGAAGGCGGCCGGCGCGTCCGACGGCAACATCTCGGCGGTCTGCCGACTGGTCGGCGCGGGCCCCGGATTCGGGCCCGCGCCCAACGAACGGCCCCCGGCCCCGTTGGTGCACACGTCCCCTCTGGAGCTGGAGGGATGGGCCAGGATCCTCGAGAGTCCCGCTTGCACGCTCGAGGCGCTCGAGGTGGTATTCCAAGTGGAACGCGGTTCCGATCCGAGATATCTGGACGATTTCTTCGACGCGCTCGCCGGCAACGAGAGCGTCAAACTCGTCAGGATCACGTCTCTGCTGGGGCAGGAGTTCCCCGCGGACGAGGCGCAGCGATTGGCCGGACACCTGAAGAGCGTGCTCGGCAAGAAGAAGCTCAACGACTTCGAGCTTGTCATCACTTGTCTCGAGGAGGCGGCCCATGATAGGTGAGTCGTTTTACAGATATATACCCACTCGGCGAAGCGAGCTCTAAATCGTTCTTCAACTTGTCGCGATCTCCCCGAGGATAGCAAGTTACGAACAAGTCGCGAGATTGTAGCTAAGCGCGTTTCAGGAGAATAAACTATGTATAACGCGCCAGACCGGTTTCTATTACATAATTGAGTTACCGAGATTGGTACACGGGCGGGAAGTTTATGCAATACTTTTATTTCGATTCTTTTATCTATCCGCTTTATTATTCCCTCCTTCCCCCCCCCCCCCTCCCCCCCTTTTTTCTATTTTTTTACTTCTTTTATACAACTAATTTTATTGCCGTTTTATTGCTTCTTTTCACTTATCTTAATTACTACTAATCTTTTATCTTATCACGATTAAATTTTGATCTGAAATTCCCGCGCTATTGTTCCACGAAACTTCTCAATTAACAATGGACTATAAGGACGATTTTCCGCGTTGAAAAATACCGGACCACTTTACCGGACAACTCATCGCATCGATCCACTTGCGTGACTCAATAGCTCGAAGGATAAAGAGCCTAGGCGAATGTGTCGGCATTATTGCACCTCGAGGACGCTCGATACGGCGCCGTCGATAGCTTCGACGACGACGAAGAGTTATTACAGAAAGTCTGCTTGTCCGCTCGGTCGTATATGAGGTTGGCCAGGACAAGCGGCCAATGAGGATATTTGCTCTTTCGCGCCGCGAAAAGAAGCGCAAAAGATGAGAGACCGAACGGAGATCTATATTTAGATTTTCACGTCGAAAGATATAAAGGTAAAGGAAGGAAGACAAGTAGGAAAGTGAAATTAATGAAAAATTTTAATCTTTGTATAAATAAATCTGTCGTCGGTTGTAAAAAGGGAAGAATCATAGATGAACCTTTTTAGAAAATAATGAGTCATTTATTTGGAATAAATTAATCGAGATGAAAAATTTTCTTGAGTTTGTAATACGTTATAGTATTATTAACAGTATTTATTTATATTTTTGTCATAATTCTTGTACATTGTCTCTGTACATAATAATAATTGTAAATATTTTAAAATATTAGCCGTTGCTGCAACATGCTCGCGAACGTAGTATAAATCATCGGGATTTATCGTTAAGCCCGCCGACCACTCCCCAAAATTTCCATCGGGCTCGCGCGATTCACACGGAGACGTCAAAATTGAGAAATTTGTTTTGTCGCGCGACGAAGGGCGACGAAAGGGTTCATCGGGCGGATATTTGTCTTTGCCCGAAGGGAACGAAGAAATGGCAGACGTGGAAAAAGCGTGTTTACCTTGCGAGAATCGAGCGAATGTACATTCGCAAACTTTGCAGCGCGCCCGGCTCGCTCGCGAACGAGAAAACTTTTGCCGAGGAATATCGTCCCGATCTGGTTTTTATCCCGTGAGAAATTCAACGATGGCTTCGTAATGAGAACTGTAATAATTATGGCCGGAGTACCGCGAAAAAAAATTGGTGGAAGTCATTATCGTCGGTCTTCCTTAAATTAAAATAAAAATAATCGTGGCGTGTCGTCTAATTTCTTCGTGTTATTAGAGGATGATAATTCGTGGTTTTGTAGAATAAAAGATTTACCACCGAATTCGCTCGTGCTCTACAAATGTGCCGAGTGCGCTGCCTACATTACAATAATTAAACTACCAATTTACCGTACATGGGCGAAAAGTTCCATGTATTAATTTATTTTGTTTGCATATACTCCCGCATTTTTCATGCAGCCGCTGCACCGAGCGTAATAAGACTGTTTTACGCATTTGCGTGCACAATAGATCCACAAGCATGTGATTGCATATACGCAGTATATGCGAGGGTGCTTTTGACGCAATCTTCTCGAGGTTTTTCGTCCATGACGCTTCTCGCGGGGGATTTTAATTTCTTGCTCGCGCTCCCTCGGCTTAACGCGAACTTTTTACCGACTTCTCCGGTTTTATGCGCGCTCTCGGCCGTCATACACTCGCCTATTTCAAGCTTTATATTTTTCGATTTCGCCGAGACGCTTTAACTCTCCCTTTCTCCGTGTCCCCGTGGAGACGGAGAAAGTATTTCTACGGGCGGGTTCACGAACCCGATTCAACCGATGAACTTGCCATCGCGCCGACCTCGAATTCGAGATTAAGCGGACGCGTGGAATTCGAAATGCCGGTTTTGATTTCAGGATATGTTATCACGAATTAACTTATTATTGCCCTTCTTTCTTTTCAAACTCTCTGTTCTCGATAATTAATTTTATTTTAGATTATTCTTTTTTTAAATCCATCTTTACCGCGTATTTTGTAACACACGATTTCATGCAGAATGTATTTAATTAAATTCTAGTGTGTAGTGTCTTACATAAATATTGTCGATTTCGCGAGACGAAGTCTAGTAGAAAAGAAATCTGGTCGACGATTTCAATTTTGCAAACGAAACGCGAAACTATCTTGCTTTCGTCACGTTTAAGAATTCAATCTCATTCAACCTTGGAGGTCAAGAGGCACCTCTTTATCCTTATCGGGACATTTTTCTTTCAGACAATATATATCGCTTTTCTCGAATTATATATTCCGGACGTGATACGAATTCTCTGGGTTTTTTTTTTGGTGGGGTAGGGGCAAAGGAGGCTATTACGAATACGAACGGCACGTAAGAACGAGAGTGCACTCTCTGCAAAGAGTTGCGGGCAGCTGCAAATTCTCGAAAGAAAATTCAGTGGAAAAAGAGACAAAGGGAGAAAGAGAGAAAGTCACGACGGAAAATTAAAGAAAACGACGCGCCGCGAGCTTTAACTTGCGACCGGACTCGCCATCTCTCTCTTTTTTACCGCTTCGCGCTCTTTTATTGAATCTCACAGCTTCAATCTCTTTGGTTTTATCCCGTTGGCCCCGAGCTTTTCTCTCCGGAGACTTTCACCCCGCCGTTATATATATATATCACGATTTTATTCCTCGCTCGACACGTTCTCTCGTACATGCAATATTCGATTCTCTCGTCCAAAAATGCAAATATATTTCTAACTACTGGACCAAACGAGATTTGCCGAACCGAAATGCTTTTAATACTTAAATCCAAACCGTTTGCAAACACGTAGATCTGATTCTCGTCTTACGAATTTAGCGAGAGAGAGAGAGAGAGAGAGAGAGAGAGCGCCATATCTTTCCAAATACTCGCAACATGAAAAGTATTTTCCGAAAGATCTTTCTTCTCCGCATTGTATTCCGGTAAATGCGATTACGCTCGCAAGCCGAGCTTTCGTTCGCTCCTGCTTTTCGTCGTCTCGGTTTTCCATCCCAACGCGAATATATACCGCTCTTCTTGAAGTCTCTTCAAGCTCCACGAGAGCGATATCTTTTCCGCGATGCAACTGCGAGGCAGAGGAATAAAAGGGGACGAACACCTACCATTTGCCTCGGAGAACCTCGCTCTCGACGATGCGGCCGCCAGCTCATTGTTTCGTGTCGAAACGTTCTCCTTGTTTCAACCGCCACCTCTACATCACCGAACCCTTTACCCTTCCGTTCTATCCATTCGCCTTCCCGTAACGTAGACCGTTCACTTTTGTTCTCGCGAGGTGCGAGGTGTTCTCGCGAGAATCGATATTACTGTCTATCTTTTCTATTCGGACGACGGAAATCGATCAGACGATCTGCATCGCCTCGAATATTCCACAGGAGAGAGCTCATTCTTTCCTATATACTATACTGAAGCTATTGCGTGTTGCAAGATAGAACTCACAATCGAGCATGATGCGGTCTTATCAAGATCTCAATATCATCGTATCTGTCTTACTTTATTTTATAATTTGACATTCGCGAATTTTTGCGCTATTTGTTGATTAATTCATAATTTTTCCCGAATGATTGTAGAAGAAGATTTTAATAGAAATAGCAAAAGTGCATCTGACAAACAATAAAGCGATAATGTAATTTGTTCTCTCTCTTTTTCAAGATAATTATTTGTAAAATAGTTTATATGAATCTTGCCTGTTATTCTTTCTCTTTTTGTATCTTTGTTGAAAAATTATTAAATTAAAGGATCCTACTTGTTTAGGCAACCAAATACTGTCGAGAGATGGACAGTTTCGAGTGAAATTTCTGAAATTCGCGAAATTTTTTTGCGTGTTTGAAGCTAGTTACCATACAAAGTGGCCAAGTTGCACCGTGAAAGTTTTCCTCCTTTTTCCTCCCCCCTTCCTTTTTCGCGTAAAATGCGGCGGATTATCACATTTGCTGTGATGCGCCTTCTAAATACGAATTCTTCTCGCGTACTTGCCGACGATGTCGGAAGGCAGAACGAATACTCGATTAATATTACGATCCACGTTACGAGAATGCTGCCTGCCGTTTTCCGTAACTGCACTTATTGTTAGCCGTTGCTTTCGCGCTTTTCGCGAATGCGCTGCTTGCGCGCGCTTCGGCCGCAATTCTCTCAGTCTCACGTCTTGAATGCGGAACGGCCAATTCCGCGCGAAGAAAGCTTCAGTCGCAGTAATGTAATTCCCTATAAAAGAGAGGCAAAAATCGAGGGAAAAGGAAGAAAGATAACGGGAGAGAACAGATAAATATTAAAAAATGTTCACGGAGAAAAGCTAATAAAACGAATAATAAAAAATCAATAAAAAGAAATAAAATGGAGAAAAGAAAAAAAAACAGAAAAATGCAGAGGAAAATGGAAAGAATATCAAATTTGTTCAAAATCTTGTGTTATTTATTGATTAATTGTAGCGATTAAATATTAAATATAGCAATTATCTACACTTGTTTTTATCCACATTTATCTACATGTATAGCATTTGTGCATTACTGTAATATTTTATTACTGTTATTAACTTAGATAATTACTATTACTAATTCCTATTAATATTAGACAGCGCAAAGACGTGGAAAGCATAATAACACGTTATCTAAGTGATAAGGTAATATGAAGGAGCCCTTCTCGTCCTCCTCATCTCCCTCCGTTACAGTACTTCGCGGAAGAGAGGGTAAGTTCTAAGCGCTAGTTAGAACTTACGCTACTGACTTGGGCCAATTTTCGAGTACCGGGAGTAATCGGGATGTGCAACGCGAGCATCTTCTCCCGCTCTCTCGTTGTCGGCGTACCATGCGCGAGAAAATCCAGGCTTTCGCTTACCCGTTCTCCCGGAGGAGGAGCGTTGGGACTTTGCATAATACGTATCTACACGCGAGCGCGCGCGCACCAGATGCGCCAGAGGGATAACCGCCGCGCGAATAGACAACGTGAAATGTGCATTATATATGCATAAATATATTCGCCGACGAGTCCGCCGAACTTCCGCGCCGCTAACTCGCCACACCGACCGAATTTACATCGGCTGCATCCGCCGGGCGCGGCGCAGCATCCGTTCGAGCCGCGCGTCTTGCGCGCAAAAGCCGAGCTTCCCGAAAGTGCATCCCTCTTCCTCTCTCTCTCTCTCTTTCTCTCTCTCCCGCCCTTCATCCCTCGCATCATCACGCGCGTCAGATCCGCTGCAGTTTTTTCCGGACTATACCGGAATATAAAGGCGCGAACGAATAACGCCTATGGAAATTCCCTTCGCTCGCGTTTCATTTAACATATAATTTAAACCCGAATGTACATAACAGCTACAATATTAACCGCACTTCCCGAGTAAACCGATACCACATGCATAATCCGTGTGCGAAGTTTGTTCCAAAAACGTTTGTAGTTTGTGACGGACAAATTATATAATCCGCCATATGTCTGCGCGGGTGTTTATATATGTTCAACAACAAAATTATCAATTCGCCGCCGAGCCTCATCGCGAAAAGTGTAATTTACGTGTAATTAGTTTTACATGTATATCTCTGACTTCAAAAAATATATAATTATTGACAAAATTATTAATTTGCCTTACAAAAAGTAATTTTCTCAACATTACTTTTGCACATATATATTTCTGACTTCAGAAGATAAATGTTTATGTTTTATTTTATTTCAATTGTAATTTTTTTTTTTGTATATTTGGCTCTTTCTTATTTTATTTATTTATTCGCGCTCGTTGAGAATTATTTGACGTTGTCGCAATTCGATGATAAAACGCGAGAACGTGTCTAAGTGACCCATTAACGCCGTCATTAACGCGATTGATTTCAGATTGGAGTGCGTGGTGAACGCTCTTTGTCGCGGCTTGAGTCACGCCTCCGGCAATCTGTCGCGTCTGGTGCTCGACATGAATCTGTCCGGCGAGCAAGTGTCCCGGGTCTGCGAGGCACTTCGCGACTGCATTCAAGTGCAGGCGTTGCACTTGCCCCATTTAGGCTGCGGATGCGAGGGCCTGGCATCGGTCGCCGAGCTGCTGAAGGAACGGCCGCTGCTGGCACTCAACCTGGCCGGCAGTTGGGGCGCCAAGAACGAGGATCCGTCCAGCTCTGGCATCAGTATGGGTAAAACCTTGCCATTATTGCCCTCGATTCGTTGGCGCGATTCCGCGGATGCTTACTTTCCGAAAATTAAATATCGTAGTTAGATTCGTGATTATTTTCGAATAAATGAATACAAGACACCCCCGATATTTGAAAAATTACGAATCATTTGTATTAAGATAATGTAGAATTATTTTTATCGAGACAATATTAATTGCTTTTTATCTTTTATTGTTATCTTAAAATTTCTGCCCCAAAAAAGTGAAATGAAGAATTGTTTAAAGAATATTTGCTAGTTATACTTGTTTTATTGTTTTTAATGGATAATAATTATATAGCTATAGGCATTCTTTACCCATGTTATTTCTGCTTTGCAGTGATTTTATTCCAAAAATCGTAAAAATAAAAAAATTTTGAAATAAAAGTTGCGAGTAGAGAGCCATTTTAGTGGCCATCTTTTTAATTAAAAAATTTAGCTCTCTGGACACGATTTACATTACATACGTATATATGTATATCGAAAGCATGCATGCATATTTCGTGGTGAATCGCGTTGACAAAATTGCGAGCTTTGCCGACCGATACGAAGCGTGAACATCATGGTACATACCTATCGTTATTTGACGTCCACGAATTTTCCACAATATCAACCGCATTTTATATTTTCTCGGCTTAGGCAAATTTTTTCTTTGCAATTAAATTATTCCTCTTATAGAGTAAAACATTTTTTTCTTGCTGCATCGAAATTATTGGGCGCCCTTTTTTAAACATCTATTTACAATTAGAAAAGGCGAAAGAGTCATTCTAGATGCATCCCACAATTTCTTTCCATAAATTAATATAATATGCATGTGAAACGCATGAGTAAAATTTAAAAATTTTTATTCAGGATGAAATTTTTTTGCGTTTATATTTAATTTAAGTAAGGGGAATTTATTTTTTATAAAACTAACAATATTTTCTCTATATCTTTGAATGTTCTCCAAGTACGAGCGAGTTCTTTTCGAAAAGTATTAATAGGAAATTAGCGAATTCTCCGTATAGATATGTAGGATAGTAATTTCGCGGTTCTGTCAGGGTTACGTCCCATAATGGTTGAATCGTTGTCAACGGTCCGACCGCGGCAACAGAGGAGCGACAACGGTGACACGTCGCCGAGAAAACTACGTCGACACAGTCACATTGGTCCGACAAAAGTAACATTGTCGCGTATGCACGCTCGCCATTAACCCGACTCCGGAATTAGAAACTTGCGGAACGGAAGCACGCGAATTGCGCCGACAAATCCGCGAATCCGTGCGACCGAAAGTTGCGGCGATGTTAAAACGAACTTTGGCCCTTCCGAAACTTCAAGTCGCGCCATTTGCCCACGGATACACAGACTGGCACTGGAATGCGATTTATTCGCTATAAAGGCCCGCGGTATTTGCAAGAATCGAAACGACAATTGACAGTCAATGATGATCAGGCAGGAACAAAATCAACAAATTGAAACAGAAAATTAACGTTATATTATAAAAATATATGACGATAATTTTTAGATTTATTTGAATAATAAAATTTAGCTTAACGTGCTTAAAAAAGTATTTACGCGAATTAATTTATAATTATTATATTATATGAAATTTTTAGAATATGTGATTTTTAATAAATAGAGTAAAATAAATTCGCCACAGAAAAATCAGGCGATTTATCTTTCTTTTTTCGATACATTAAAATCAATGAAATCAAGTAAAATTTCATTATCATTTAAACTAAATAATTTGTAGAAAATGGAAACGATAATAATGGATTATATAATTCTTATTTTCCAGTCACAGAACAAAGATAAGCTTTATTTAAACTTAAAGTATATGTTTGATATTACAATTTATCAATCCTTTAAAATAGAATAATACATCAGTTATTCAAGTTTTCATTAAAAAGATTAAATAATTTGCATGATAAATTTGCTGTAATAATTAACTTGTCAATATTATAAGCTATGAAAATCAATAACCGATGACAGATTGATACACATATAAGCGTAATTATCGGCTTAAACACGCGAACTTTATGCGATGCCGTTGGCTCGTTTGATGGCTCGTAATTTGAAAACTAGTGTAATCTCAACATTAAAATTTAATTGATCTCCAGAATAGTAAAATATTAATGAACGTGAGATAGCTCGCGTATATAAATATATCCATACGCGGTCGCGCACGCAGATAAAAGATTTTCTCTCTCCCGGTGATTTATTTCACAGCTTCGAAAGAGGAGCAATTACAAGTACGGTGGATACTTCGGGGGAAGCCAATCCGTTTACAAGACCGAGCAAGAATCGCTCGGCCCCAACGAAGTAAGAGCAGCTCGTTGCATCCTCTCTTCCCGCGAAATTGACAATCGATCGGACTTACGAGTGTCTCGCTATAGACACCTCGCGACTTTTGCACCGTGCTATAAGATTGCTATTGCTCACAGATTCCCGAAGGAATCGCTTTTCACCGTGTTCGCCCACCCGATCATCTTTTTCTTAGCTGAAAGACTCTCGTACAATAATAAATAGAAAGTTTCTCGTATAATCAGAGATTACATCTTGCGGTAAATGAATTAATTTAAAAAAACGAGTTGATTTTTTATTATTCCTTTAGGTGCTATATATTCCTTATTTTTATTATTTCCTTAGGTGCTATGTTCTCATATAAATATATATAGCGAAAAAAGTTAGTTTGATTAAAAAAGGTTCGCGTTTTATTAAACAAACGTCCGGTTAAATTAATAAAGCGATATGTGATAAGTAATTCTGTTAAAATACTATATAAGGTGTCGAATTGCAAATATTTCGTTAACTTTGTTTACATTTGTTTAAACTCGTTTGCGGTCCAATTATTTGTTTTAATTTCTCTCCGAAATTAAAAAAAAATCGATTTACAGGGCAATTTAATGGCGTTTTGATCTGGGCGGTTTTTGTAGTTCAATTGCGATCTTATCTGCCTCAGGCGGAATAATATACGTCGTTTAAAATCACAACCGCGCAGCAGTGTTAATCCCGAAGTTTTTTTTAATGGCCCCACGTTTCGGTCGCGCAAATGGCTTCAAACGAAACTAAAGCGCCATTACAACTTTCGAGCTGTGTGTAAGGTCTGCGTAATTAACGATTATTATGTTAGCTCGGAATTGGGAGTGCGCGGCGAGTTTGCTTATCAACTCCGTTAAAACACATGGACCGCGGCTCAATATATGCGTATTCATTAAGGTTGCGGGTGAATTATATATATACTTTATGTTTACTGACTTTATAATTACTTTATAATTATCATAAACGCGCTCAAAATATTGGGGATTAATTATTCAAGTTCTTTCTCGGTTCTTTCGCTACAAAAGCTCGATATTGGTAAGTAGCAGTTTCACAAAAGTACGCGGTGAAAAAGTTTATTCTATTTCACTAGAAATTAGCATTGAACTACTAGGATAGATATCGGTTAAAAGTTGTAAAGTTTTTTTTAGTAAAAATAAAAAATCTTTAATTTCTTCGAAATCTGAAAGGGGATTATGATGGTATAATCAAATAATCTCTCGAATTTCTCATTTAAGTTTCGGATTCCTGAAATATCTGCGGCTCGTTCGTTCTCAAAAGAGAGTAACGTTACGTCCGAAGGATCACGTTTAGTCAGGCATCCCTTTCTAATCTACCTTCCCTCCTCCGCTCTCTCATCTTAGTCACGAAATCGCTTTGCATCGTCGTTCGCTGCAAATGCGCGTTTTCCCCGATCGTCGAGGTCGGTTTCTCGCCGGCCAGCGGCATCCAATCACGCTAAAACGCCTCGGATAACATTGAATCGTTTCGGGGGCCATTGTTGTAAGCAATACGCGTAACAGCAGCATCGTAAATTCACCGGATTGCTTTAAACGAACTATTGGTCGCACCGCGTAAAAAATTGAAATCGCGATTACGAGAACTGTGGAGTGGAAAAATTGTTAAGGAATTGTACGTAAAAATCGAAGAGTTTAAAATAAAAAGAATATTTGATAGCAGCACTTTTGAAAAAGCATATCTCACAAACTGTGTAAAAAAAGAAATATTAAACTTTAATCTGAAACAAATGACTTCTTAGAAGAATAGAATGGTAGGATAAAAATCTATAGGATTATACATAATTAATATCTACAATAAGAATATAGAATAATAGCTGTTGAATAATCGATGGAAATTAATTCATGGAATGAAACTGCTAATTTATGAACGTCTAAGGCGAATAAAATAAATCTATAAGATAATTTTAAACTCTTTTTACATTAATATAATTATAGGAATGACATTTAACGCTTTATACGATTTTTACAATCTCCTTTGCTGCTCCCTATTTGTTACCAATTTTTCGTTATGTATAGTCAAGATTCCGAGTTTAACATACGTAAGAAAAATATCGAGTTTTTCGAAACAGTAATAAAGCAACGGTTATAATTATTTCTCTCTTATATTATCAAAAAAGCGTTTGCGCCGTTAGGGAATATGAAATGTAAATTGGACGTCGGGGGGGGAAGCATAAGCTATCGGCATCGCGAAATTGCTTTTCCCATCGAAAGGATTGGACGTCACCTTCTTGTTACCGATCGCCCTAACTGGGTCGCCGCCACCAATCGGACTCTATTATAATTAGTTTGGCACGACACGAGCGGATGAACGCGCGATGCAAGTTGCGCTGATCGATCGAAGGGCAAAAACTTTGCCCGCCTCTGTACCGTGATCAAGTAAGTTTAGTACAACGTAGCGAGAAATATCTACCTCTTTTCGCATAAAGGAGACAATAATTAATATCGAATTATGCATTCTCGCGAGTCTCTCGGATAGGGAGAATAAATGGGTTTACATTAAACTTTCTTTCTCGTTATCTGGAAACATTGAAAGACAACAAATTTTAATGAACCTAATAAAACTTTCTATCTAGAGATTTCTATCATCTCTTTCTTTTTTTGTTTCTCTTTTTTTTATATAAAAGAGGTAATAATAGAAACCCTCTCCAAACAGTAAATGTACGAATAGTAGAAATACAAATAATTTTATGAAAAACTTAATTCCACGTTATTGAAGTGCTTTCTATACAAATTAATTTATTCGCTAATCAATTAATCCTCTATCTCTCTTTCTCTCTCTTTCTCCATATCTCTTCGTGAAATTATGAATTCGCTTGCTTAACAGAAAACCGTCTCGAGTCTGTTAATATTAAAAAAACTTGATTGTTATCGTAAATTACATTAGAATTATTTTGAATTAAATAAACATAAACATTTTCAAATTTATTTAATTAATTTTGATTATAATCTTTGTCTACAGCCTATTCTTGAAAAAAGAGAAGAGGTGCGGAAGGTATTTAAAATGAAAAGAAGCTTAAGCTTCTTTTTTATCTTCTGCATCAAACGCTCAAATAAATTGATATGAAAAGGCTTTATAACACCGTCGGATAATAAGTCAAGTCGATGTTCAAACGCGCGATATCAAACATTTCTTTTATATCGAAACTTTTTTACAAAGAAGAACGTCTTCTTTTACTTCTGCGCCTTAAGACGCACTGTTATTTACCGTCGAGATATTAAGATATAATAATAACAAACGATATTTCAAAAGCAGTATTATTCAAGTCGACAAACTACAATCCTTTTAAATAATAAGAGAAAGCACATGAAATATTTATTCGCGCTTAAATAAATACGTAAAGTAAATTTTACAAATTATAAATGTATAAGATAAAATTACATACATTCACGGCGTAATGCCGTAATATTTCACGGTACTTTAACACAGAACATATTTTGACGTCATAATACGTATCAACCTAATTAACGTTGTCATAATCACTTCATGTCGATTATCGATGATTTATTAATGAAATCGCGAGTTCGGTAATCTCGAGTTAATCATCGTCCGAATGATCGCGTGACGTAACGCGATTTTACGTTCCAGTTACGACATAACTTCCTATTACGCAAAACTTCGACAGTGTCCCGGCGGTGTCCATCAATTTAATACTCGACAACGCCGACGACGACAACGACGAGGAAGAACGACACATTTGCATCGCGCGTGTCTAAGCACATGCTCGAGAAAGTGTATGGAAGTTCGTGTGAAGTTCGCGAACAAAAGTTAACACTTATTATAACAGCTCAACTTGGAAATTCTCCGGAAACTATGCACGAGCGAGAGAGAGAGAGAAGAGAAGAGATACTGTCTGCCCGTCGCGAGCGAGGACTTAAATCCTCGTTGCTGGCTGGTGGACACGACTTTCTCGTCACCGATTAGACGGAATATAATTAATTCAGAAGAGGTGGGCCAAGCACACGTTTTGTACGGATAAAGAGACGAACAGAAAACTTTGAATGAGACGATACGGCGCATTGAAATCCAATCGACTAAATCGTCTCTCTGCTGTTGTTTATTGTCGTCGGGTCGAATTTGCGAAAAGTGTTTGCCACGAGGATTGAAGTTACAGTAATTTTCTTTCGTTGCGGTACTGTTGCTTGAAATTAATAAATGATGAGAAGAAATTAGGAGAATATTTTTGCCGAGTGTTTGCCGCATATTTATGTTTTTGCTGAGACGTAGAAGCTTCGAAAAAGCAAAAGTTTAAGCATCCAAGGGCTTGAGTTTCTCAAGGATTCAAGTGTCAAGTTTCTAAAGGATTCAAGAATCCAGGGGTCGTTTAGTTCAAAAACTCGACGAACTATAGAGATCGAATACTTCAGATTAAAAGACAGGAGGCTACAGACTAAAAGGTATGAAGATTCTAAAATCGAACGGGGGGGAAAGGATCGATCGGGAGACTTGAGCGACGTGCTAGTTCGCAATTCGGAATAATATTGCCGCGACGGATGACTCTCGTCGAAATTAAGCAACGCGCCGTGACGAGCGTCTCGAATTAATATCCACTGCGTGGATCTCGCGTGGCAGTTTCCTCGAATTTTCCCGTACATCTAATTTTCCCCGACCGATATACACGTCCCGGATGAGATCACGTCCAAAAAGGAGTTTAAGTGCTCAAACCCGTACCGTGGAATCCGCATTTGAGCTTGCTCGAACAGCACATCTCTCGTTGAACATCCGCAGCAACGTTAACGTTGCCAGCATCGTAGCTATACAGGCAGCTACGGATGGCAAAATAGAAGAGAAAGAGCACTGGTTTAAGTAGCTCAGGTTTAGACATATCCACTGCATTTGCGGAAAGAAAAAGATTTTATTTTTTTCCTTACGCTACTGGAATCTCAAGATTTTTCTAACTAGCAACTTCCTTAAAATTTATGACACCCTTTCTTTCAATCATGCTCTCCATCGCTTTCGCTTTTGTTTTGCATATTTTGTACAGTAATTTTAGTGACATATGTTTTCAATATTTTTTTTTTAGAAATGGGAATATATGTGATTAATAATAGTATAATGTAAAATATATTTTATATTTAAAATATATTTCTGGGATTTTTTACGCCACTGCGACTATACTTGCATTCGACTGCAATTCTAGACGGATGCGATGGCAGAGCGCTCGCGAAATAGCGATAAACAAACCCTAATTTAATTAGTAATTACGAAACGCTCGTTGCAATGCGCCGGACGCGATGGCACAATTATCGTACGTGGCGGTGTACTATACCCGCTCGGATAACTCGTCCTACGTGGCTTGCCGTTGATTGATCGCGTTACACAGCGGGCCCGATTACAGAACAACGCGTTACCGCGTGGTTACGAGTTTAACGCTGATAAAATTCGCTCTGTAACCGAAATCTGCGCTCCGATTCGATAAATCGACCGGGAGGCGAGAAGGATGATCGGTGCCACTTTACGAAACCGGAAAACGGAGAAGCTTATAGGATTTGATACTCGAATTCGCTGCTACCCACTTATTCTTTTACTTTTTCGTCAAATTACTTGCGATAATATCGTGCCTTTTGGTTTAAAATATTAGAGATTATTTGTTTAAAAATATTATAGATTACGTTTCTTTCTCTTATTTTATTATTGCATAGTATACAAAATTTTTGTCTCTTTTACAAAATAATTACATGTATAAAGAATTATAAAAAAAAGCAAGATGCCAATAGAGTAAATTTCTAATTACGAACAATGTAATTATTAGATTATTAAAAATAACTATTCAATATTGGAACATTATTTATCTTCATCTTACATATTATATAAACAAAATTAATATACTTTAGCGAAAAAATGTGAAAATAAAGATACTTATATAAAACTGACTCTTTCATTTTATATAAGAGAAGACCGAAGGAATCTATGGCGATGCTGCGCGCTCACGGAATTACTAAATTTCATTCGTGGCCAAGAAGTGTATTTGCCGCTGTACTATAAAGAAGCTTCTAAACAAATTTATTCGTGACGGCAACCACCGTTTATGTTTCGTATACCGCTCCGGTATAGGTTACTATCGATAAGACAAGTGGAAATTGTGTGAGGTATCTACTCCATAAAAAGTTATACGTATCGTCATCACGGTGCTCGCTCGTACGAAAAGAACAAATCACCCTCCATAAACTCCGTCTTTTGCTTTTTCAATTTCGCGCTACCCTCCCCGTCTTTCGTCCTCCCCTCGCATCATAAAGGTTTTTCGCGCGGACTTATTTAACTTTTCCTTCAAACCAATCGCACGAGAAGAACGTGGTTCTTCGCGCTGTGCACGACATTGTAATATTTGATTCCGAGTAGAGTATTTCTGCGACGAATATCAAACATTGTGAATATCTTCTTTTATCTTTCGCATCTCTATAGTGATAGAGAGAGAGTTTACATAATACAATTTAATTTCCCCTGTATCACATTTATCTCTTTTTTATTTCTCTCTCTCTTTTCTTCGTTTAACTCGCTTTGACCTAGAATTTTAAGATCACAAAGTTTCGACGATATCATCCTGACGCAGTAATTTTACGGCAGGTTCAGGTTCAGGTTCCGGCTCCGGTAGCAGCGGCTGCGCCTCCAGTACCCTCGGCACTCTACCGCTGAATCGCTGCTACTCGTCCTTACCCAGGGGCGCGCTAACGGCTTACGGCAGCCTGACACGACCCGCCACTCTACCGCGACTTCCACTGGGCCTAGGCTTGGGCCCGGCGCCCAACACCGGCAACGGACCTCTGCCCCAGAACGATCGGGATCGAGACAGCAACGGAAGCAGCAAGAGAAACAGCGACAGCGTGCTCTGTCATCGGCTGCCCTTGTTACATCCTCTGCCCACGTGTGATGTTACCAGTCATCAGGGCACTGGCTTCCACGAGATATTCAACGCTATTAGGTGAGTCGTTTTAGCGTGCATAATTTCTCCATTTTCTTGTAAATTGCTATATATTGAGGGGAAAGGAAATGACAGAGAAACACTTGGATTATAAATTCTTTAAGAATTCTGTTGCTTTAGTTTTAGTAAACTCTCTTTTCCTTCGTCCACGGGACTCTTTTTGTATCTATTTGTTGGCGCTCTTATATTTTTTACGTTAGAATGAATTTACAATATTTGTGAGCGATATTATATTTATTAGAATACGCGAACGTGGAATTACGCGCTGCTAATCATTCGGGAGGAGGGAAGATTCAATCTGCAGTCACTGCGAAATATTGATGTTGCATAAATCCCGATCAATCTTCGTGTCTATCATGCGCACCAATAGTTCAGCATGAAAATCCAATAATTTCATGTAGAATGACATTAAACGCGGTAACGTTAATAATTATGCGCGACATTTCGTTATCGACTTAATCACATTTCCCATTACCATTATAATTACCATCACAACTGAATGTTTTACGGTCGAGATGGACCGTGAAACGTGTGATGAGTACGGTCGAGTGACGATCAGTCTTGACGCATATAGATATTTTTACGCATAAATGAATACAAACGCCATACATATTCCTGCAGTGTACGTTCCGATACAATAATCTGACTGAATAAAATATTCAGCAAGATACCAGTCACGTGCTGATGCAACATTACGTTTGAAATAATAATTGCGCCTTTCGTATTGCATAAAAAGAAATTGCGTAAAAGTTAATAATTTTAATAAAAATTTAGATAGTTTTCAATAAAATTTTGAGAGAAATGTTTCCGGGAAAGGAGAAAGGAAGCCAAACTTTAGAAGGTTTAGGAATGACGTCTCTTAAAGAAGAAAGATTTTAAGGAGACAAATGATCTCTTTGCCATTCAACTCGCCTCTCTCTTCCCGAGCTCTCGTACGAAGAAGTAAGCGTATTACATTCGCGACCTTGAAACGAACCCCTGCAAATGATCGAACAACTTGTCCCTCCTGATTACCTCCTCGACGAAGAGGAACTTCTCGGGGACGAGAATATGCGACCTAGAACGATAAGCATCCTCCCGAACTTCCTCGGGGTCTCTTTCTTCTTGAACGACCGGTAAATGAATAATGGAAATTAAAGGGAACGAGTGGGAATATTTCGTTGGCGAAATTACGCGAACTTTGCGGACGACGGAGGCGAAAACTTCGGTCGGGAGCTGCTGGGATCTCCTCCGATTACGTCAACAGACTTCACCCCGGCGGCAAACTCGTGGAAATCGCGCAACTCCTATCGTCATATTCGGCCCGACGACGAAGAAACGGGATGCATTCGTCGGCACCCTGGTCGACCATTAGATATCGTCCCGAGAGTTTTAGTTCTTCCCGGACGAGAGGAGCTCGGAAAGTTCGGTCGGCGAGCCGTGCGCTTATCCGGGCGAGAAGCCCGATATTTCGCGTAATTACCGTCGGAGCTTGCCCGAAGCTGTACGAGATACGCGCGAATAATTTGCGGAATTATTCGAGAATGAGCCTATATCATCTCTTTTATAAAATTTAAATTGCGTACAATATTTTAAAATTTATATTTATTGCCTCATTGCTCCTAAAATATTACCTAACTAACTTGATATTCACTTTTTCATGAACTAGACGCGCCATTATTTTCCATATAATGTATTTTATAATATAATTCCATATAATATATTTTCCATATATAACTGTTAAATGTTGGCCACTTTAAGTAAACTTTCGATTTAACTAAATTAATAACTTAAACAATGAGGTTTTTTAAATTACCAAGATATTAACAATAGAGAGAACAAATTATATCTGTGTATTTTTATTGTACTAGGATTGCAAGACGATTGCAGCTGGTATTAGATATTAATTTATCCTCCTGCCTTACAGAGATCTTACATCGTTGTACGTCTGTAGACCATTAATAATATTTAAAACAGCCTGCGCGTCTCATGATTTATTGTTCGCGTAATCGCCGGAGTGCCGCGCGATACGATGGTCCAGCCGGTGGCGGCGCGCGGGAGGAAGGAAGTCGATCCATTTCTCGCAGATGCGAACCGACACGGGTGCTCCCAACTGTATTCTAAAGATCTCGGAAAGATTTCTTAAGACCGCGACGGGAATAAAAGTTCCGCCGCCACCTGCCGCATCGGCCGTTCGTCTTTTTCGCGCCTGCAAATCGGCATGGCAAGTCGGATCCGCTCGGTGTACGTGCGTGTTCGATTACGAAGGTGATAAATAACTTGCGCTCCGCCCCTACACGTTAATTGCCTATTATCGTTCGATCGCCAAAAGCGCGAGTTCTAACCGGGACAATCGTAATTGAGCGATAAACGTGTAGCATCCCAATTTTTCCCGACGATTAATACAAATTGTCAAATCAACCAGAAGAATAGCGACCATTAATTTCGTCGTTGCAGGCTGTCACGATTAGCCCAATGCCACGTTTATCACGATCGAACTGAAAGTGATATCATCGATCATCGGAACGCGGATGAAAGAATGAAAGAAACGAGATTCAGAAGTTATTTCTATCATCTTTAGCCCATTGA